GAAAATATCATTTTTTACCAAAAATGACAAAAATATTCACCAAAATTAGAGAATTGAAGATATCATTACAAAATAAACAAATCTGAGAGAGGTCCACATGTAGTACATATATATGTAATATCAAAGCAATTAGACTTGCAGTTTTTAACAAGAAGTTGAAAATATCACTTTTTACCAAAAATGACAAAAATATTCCCCAAAATTAGAGAATTAAAGATATCATTAAAAAATGAACAAATCTGAGAGAGGTCCACATGTATTACCTATGCATGTAATATCAAAGCAATTGGACTTGCGGTTTTTAACAAGAAGTCGAAAATATCACTTTTTACCAAAAATGACAAAAATATTCACCAAAATTAGAGAATTGAAGATATGATCATGAAATGAACAAATCTGAGAGAGGTCTACCAAAGGCTTGTAGTTTTCAAGAAGAAGTAGAAAAAGTAAAACATTGACATGGACGACGACGGACAATCACTCATTTGATAAGCTCCGCTTGACAAAGTCGACAGCGGAGCTAAAAAAACAATTCCTTTGAGTACCCTGGGTGGTTGCTATAAATAAGTCTGATTATATAAGCAATAGCAAAATTGTCATAAATTATCTAGCCACTAATGATATTTAAATACTTCAAGAGATGTATTATCAGGAAAGAACAATTCAATTTTTAGTTTGTACTTACAGTCAAAGGTGTGATAACCAATCTTGGCTGAGCACCTAGATATTCATAACCATATATATACTGAGAAGTAGACATCCTAACAACACAATTGTCTAAATCATAATCCCAGTAGTAACGTAAATTCTTCATCCAGTCAAAGTTGTTTGCATGTTCCACTTTTGATTTCACCAAATCGGTGACAATATCTCTAGCATGCACGTCAACAGTGATCAGTGCACACAAAATGTTACGAGCTAGTTTTGGCAGCTCTCCACGTACCAATGCAGCCAACTGGTTTAGATTCTGTTAAATGAGAATATATATTGAGATATAAATATTATTTAGTGTCTGGAATGTTCAGTGTTAGTTTCAACACATATTTTTTTTAAACTTGATTGCAGGTTTATCCATTTTCCAGACATTTTAATAAAAGGTGAAATGAGACATCTACATGGGTTGCCATCTGTCTTGCAAGTGATTACCGGTACCAAGTTACCAACCTTGAAGCAAATTTGTTCAAAATCTTCCATTGCTTCTGCTCTATCAAAGTCACCTTCCAGAATTTCCATAATGTCCCGACACCACACAATTTGACTGACAGTGAGAACGACTTGAGAGGCATGAGAAACAACCCATTCTTCACGGGGACGCCTTTCATAATCAGTGAGAGCAGCTTTAGTTAGCCTTCTAAGTGATGTGACCATGGCTTCCTCTACTTTCCCTAACCAATCTTCAACATTTCCTCTAGCTTTCAGACCTTTACCAAGGCCAACTTTCTCATTTTCAGGTGACAGCATTGCTAGGATGTCATTAGCTGAAAGTTTTGCCATTTCTGCTTCAGCTGTTAACAGAAACATGATTTGATGAGTACATTTATTTAATCATAAAGTCAATTTGTATTTGGTATACATGATAATTACCTCAGAAGTAAATTCGATCAGATACACATTTCTGAATAATCATTTGCAACACACCACTAACTCATTATATTACTTTATGTTGTCCATTAAAGTATATGTAATATTTGATATTTACATGATCTGAGGCTATACCTCTAACCAAAATAATATACACATGACACGTATAGCTTTAAAAATATGCCTTCAACAGACAATGGACTTAACAGGATGTAACTGTTGGTTGAAATGTTTTATTCCTATACACTTTCTAAATTTTGTTAATTTGAAACCCAGCAATAATGAGTTTTCAAAATATGACAGTATAAATAGAACTCATACCTGTAGGAGTGGCTTTACCATCACTGGACTTTGGTACAACATCTGATCCAAATTCAAGACGTGCAATGGCATCAAAACATTTACGTAAATGTGGTTGTACAGCTTGGGGATTACGAGTCTGTGATAAAATCTCCAAAAGTTCATCATTGGATAAGAAGTAGAATCTAAAATATAAAGCAGAAAAAAATAAAATACCCATTATTGAAACACACTAAATAATGTAGATATTATGAGGTTATTACGAGGATACTGATAAGTATGCACGAAGACAGTACAGCGGGACTATCAACCGACACGCAGTACTGTGCATACTTTGTAGTATCCTCAGAATAACCTTATTGTTATACACCTATACCTCCCAGGGTAACAGATTAGAACAGTTTTAGCGAAACCCTGGTGGCAGCCATGTTTGTTTTTATTATTAGAGGATGCTTATGCTACACACGTTACTCATTACTCCTTAATATGGCAGGATTAAAATACCCTGTGGAATACCGCAAAATTAAGGCACGATGTAACTTATGGCGTTACGGTGACAGGTGTATAATAATAACTAATGTCTATTTTTCATACCTTGAAAAGACCACTCTTTTCGATTCCAAGTATGCTTCCAGACATTTCTGTATCTGATCCAACAGAGCGTTATTATTCTGGAATGTTTCTAATAAACCAGGCTGTGTAGATGCTCTGAGGGCATTGGGAAGACGATTCACTTTACGCATGATTTCTTTCCATGACTTATCAACAGTTGCAAACATCTTGGCTTCTGCTGGTAGTTGTCTCTGGATGTCTGGAGCACTGAAGATGCTTTCTAAGTACAGCCAGTTACGTTGACAAGTCAACCATTCCTCCTATAATGCAAAACAAAAACATTTGGATAAGTGGCTACTGGTTATATAAATTCAGTTCAGAGTTGAAGTTCAAGTTTGTTCATATATTAATTAATTGTAAGACAATAACACCACAAAACTATGCATGAACGCAAAATGGCAACCGTAATATTCAATGTGTAGTCGAGGTCAATGCATTCCTGAACTGACTGAGTGAAATATTTTGCGGTATTCTCATGATTTTCGCTATCCTCCTTGTAGTAACAATTTAGAAATCAATAGTTTTCATCACATGTTATTTTGTTGCAGCGTCTGATGTAAAAAAAAAGAAAGTGCTTGAATGTGGCTTTAACAATCTGAAACATCCTTCAAATGAATGGGAAATATGGTTTTTTTTTTCATTTAACAGCAAGGTCTATTGTTTTCATACTGGATGTAATATAAATTATCCTAGTAAACTTGAGCATGTATTTGTGAAGTAAATGTAGTTCACTCACACAATTTGAACAGCCATGACTCGACTACTGGGCTACAATAAAGGCCACTTATAATAATAAAACAACAAAAAGTAAATTTGATGTCTTGTGTTCATGACACAGATCAATTACAAGAATTGTAATTATAGCAAAAATATTAACAAAGAATCCACAAAACTTACCAGAGTTTCATTGAATAGCTGCAGATTCTTTGTCCAATCATCTACTCTATTTTTTATTGGTCCAACATGACGAGAGCTTGCAATTGTTGAAACATTAACAATACTATCATCCAATAACACTTGGATATCATCAGTACCACCCAAAATAAACACATCTTTAGATTCACGATGTGGCAACACTATATATTCAGTAGTCTTCCAGGCATCTTCCACCTTTATATAGAAAAAACATATTTATTATAATGTAATTTCACAAATTCATCTCAAAAACTTATTCAATGTCAGCATAGTTTTCATCAAAGGTATAGCAGCTTGATATACTCATTGCATGTGAACCATTTTTCGGAGAGACAACTTAATGCAAATTTTGTAGCAGTGAAAATTTCCTGGAATCCTTGACATAGAGTGACAGTGACTTTCGCAAAATGTTGTTTTCGTGGAAAAAAATTATAAAATCGTGAAAATTCCCAGGAATAAAAACAAGTGATTATAAATACTTAGATTGTTCTAAATCACTTTTAGAGTGGTGATTAATGCTGAAATTCATGAACAAACAACAGAGCTCATTAAACACATAATAACAAGCAAAGTTAAGGCGAGGATATTGAGGACCCGCGTATGGTATGGGACTGGCTTAAATATTGTATTAAGAAAACCTCAATAACTTTTAGTAAAGAAAAAAAAAAACAAGCAAAGTTTCATTGATATTTGCAGCAGATAAACAGATACTGGTTAAATTGTCTTCTGAATAAGGACTAATTAATAGGAAGTCATACCTTCTTGAGTAGAGATTCCAATGAAGCCTCACTAGATGCCATACCAGAGATTTCTTGGATAGCTTCTGTGTGCTTGAAAGCATCAAGTTTATCCAGCAAACCCAGAGTGAGGGGTTCTTCCGGTGTGAAATGATGGCTGAAGATATTCTCTATCATATCCCAATGTCGTTGTTTCAAAAACTGGTTTCGAAGATCTGTTACCATGGGTAGCTGTGAAAATAAAGAGAAAAAGATTGGCATATGTTTTCTGTTGTCAGGCAGATGAATGCTCTGTGCAAAGCAACAATGAAAGAGATATTCAAAATGCCTGGTACTTTCTAAAGGAATCGAGAAGCCATGAAAATAGAAATGCCCCAAAAATAAGGGGGTGGGTGCTTAGTCAAGCATAGGTGCTAAGTCGAACGAGTATGGTATGTAGTCACTAAAATTATGGCAGCAAACCAGCTGCAAGGCAGGTTAGGAGAATAGACGGATTGTATTTCAGGCTCCCTTACTCAAATCCCAGAGTAGGTCACATAACCCAGCAGCCCTCTTTATACAACAACTTGAAGTGCATACCTTTTCTCGCATACTTTCAACTCTTTCTTTGAGTTTAGGAACAACTTGATTTGGTGGTAAACCTTTCTCCAATTGATACACTGATTTGCTGTACTTTAAAACTTGTGCTGTTAACTGCTCAGGATCTAAGTTTTCAAATTCACACTGTAAACAAGAAGCATGATTAAAACACAATTGAATACAATCACAAAATCCAATAAAAATTACATGCATCAGGAAAAAGTATATGAAAAGAAGTCAAGAGAATTTGACATGAATTTTGATGAAAAGCAGTGAACATCTGAAAAACATTATGTTCAGGTAAAATATGCTACACAAAAGTAAAAATATTTTTACATATATGATATACCATGTTACAAGGATAAAGAAAATAAAATAAAAACATGGGGTGACCATACTCAGAGAACTCATAGTTTAGAGAAATCGATCAATAAAATGCAGTGAAAATACAAGGTATTTTATTGATATGTTGAAGTATTTAAAAATTGGTTTTTACCAAGGTTTTCATTAAGGTCTATCAAAATCTTAAAATGACATTTTATTTGTATTATTCTACTTTTTTCTCTTAAAAAAACAAATAGAAGGTAAACAAAAATGTTTAGCCACTGTTGACAAATACTAGTTTTGTCATGAAATATTGTCACTGCTATATGCACTACAATATACATGTCAAAAACTTAAAAGTAGCATTCTACAGTAAGTGTTGGAATGGATGAAACTTACCACAACCCACTCCTCTGCTTTCTCATCCCACTCTTTCAATGAATCCCAAAGCAATTGCTTCAGTTTCAACTCAGCATGGACTTCTTCAAGTTCATCATATTTGGTGATTTCCACTTTGAAATTCTTCTGATAGGACTTGTATGTGAAGGCTGTTTTCTGTAACTTGCTCATCTTCTCTTGCAACTTATTCAGTATAGTCACAATCTTATCACGGTCAGCATTGGCATCTAAGATCATTGGATTCTGAACAAATGGAAGATTTAAAATTTAAATTAATTTTGAAACTCATTGCGGGGTTTCACATATATCTTAATTTTCAGTGCTTTAGCCATGACATTATTAGCATATACAAAAAAAACAAATCATACCATGAAAACTCAATCAAATCATAACAAGACAATAAATTTTCCTGATTTGGCAGTCGTCAAGACTCACTTGTGATTCTTGCTTGATTTCTTTGACATCTTTGTTCAGCTCCAAAATATCTTTATCCAGAGTATTACAGAACTTATCAATATTGGCATCTCGTTCACCAACAGCTTTATCAATGGCATTTCTGACAGCGCTCACTGATGGATTGAGAGTTTGGTAGACAGCAAAGTCTTCTGGAGGTGTAGGTACAGAGTAATGATCTATCAACTCGTACATTTCTTTGACAACACCTGCTTCAGCATCCATTGCATCAATCTAGGAGGAAGACAATAGAAAATTATCAACCAGAAAGTGACATCATATTTATTATGTATTAACACACAATTGACAAGTTTTGAGTTATAGTCTGTTTTCATGCAAGAATGGAGTGCAATTCATTTTCTGGTTTGCCTGGTCCCGGTACACGGCAAAATCATTTCAAGATTGTTAGCCTCCATTAAAATATATAATTGGATTTTCTTGATGTTTATACTTCAATTTTATAGTGGGCGCAAACACAATTTGGATGGGTAACTTTCCATGAAAAGTCCTTATCAATATCCCCATCAAATTCTTCCAGACAGTTGAAAGCGACCACAAATAAGCTTCAGTTTCACAGTACAGCAATCAGCAAAGTTGTCAAGGGTTCTACTATTGAGAACATAGAATCAAAGAGAGCTAGCCAACTTACTCGTTCCTGTATCTCATCCAGGAATGTGAGACTTTCAACATATTCTATGGTAGCTGTAGGTGTTACTTCCAATTTGTACTGAGCATCTTGTGCCTCAGCAATCAGTACATCAGTTCTCATCTTAGCCAGCACTGGCAACAAATCATTGAGCACCTAGACAGGGTAAATAAAAATAACTGACATCAGTGGTGTCCAGCACACAACCTAAGATCCAAGATTCATTATTACCGTATATATCTTTAACATTCTAGGAGTGAGAATGAGTCAAGGAGATACAATGATATAGACACCTAGAAGCAACAGAAACTTGCATAATGACAGACAGTTTTATTATGATTCGTTTGAACTAATTTTAAAATTACAATCATGATATGCCATGTAGTAGAGAAAACGCATAAGAATAACAAGTAAATAGTTGTTACTAACATCCAGACACTTGAGAGGTGATGGAATAATCATATTTCTCAGATCTGCTGCATCAACAAGGAGCATACCAATAGGTCTTTTAACTTGAATAGCGAGAGAACGATTGTGTTCATCATGATGTTTCTTGAGAGACATTGCAAAGAACTGAACATCTGTTGATAAAAAGAAAGATATTGTCCAATCTGTTACCAAGTATCTCAAAAAAGTGTACCCCACGGAAACTATTGCTTGATGAGATAAACACTATTTCTGGTTTACAGCCGTTCTGAGAATTATTCGGACAGTCAGTTAGCAATATATGTTGGAACTTTGCAAAACACTTGGATCTTTTCCAATCTAGACTTGATGGCGCCGTTGTATTGGCACGCCCACAATTGGAATCATTCCATTATCTTGCAAGATGTGGGTAAAACGATGTTTTCAAAACGACACGCCTTGGTTACCATATATTAACAGGTTATATGTTGTATATGCATTCAAAGTGTTATTTTTAATTGTTATAACCATCTGAGTCCACCTGACATAGCGTAATTTACAAAACAACTCCCGAGTGTTGAGTAACTCCAGGTATTAATGAACTCGTCGTTGGCGGGAAGGCTCAAAGTAAAGTTTCTTCGCGGGACGCGCTGCAGTTTCGCGACAGTTTTGGGCCAAACTAAAAGTTGTTTTTACATTACTGGTGCTGTGAATACGTCAGGGATACACAGAGGGGAAAACTCGATTATAATGGTTTGATGGATTTTGTCAAATCAAAAGTGCCTTCCTTGATCGAATCACTTTTTCAACTGCAGTTTGAAAATGACGGGGTATAACGACCGTTATTATGTCTAGTCCATTTTTGTAACAGGTACAACTGACTAAAATGAGCGAGGGGTTGACATTTTTCGACAGATTTAAACAACACCCAACTTGTGATTTTCAAAATTACTGAAAATAATTACAATATAATTATAAAAAATAAAGAATGGTTGCTGTGAACGCACGCTAGATAATACTTACAATTCACCAAGCCTATGAAATAGTAATCCCAAACCACGCGCCCGTCACTCAAGTGGCGCCGACAAGTCTAGATTGGGCAAAGACCAAAGTGTTTTGCAAAGTTGCAAGTCATTTTGCTAACTGACTGTCCGAATAATTCTCAGAACGGCTGTAAGAATTATAATTCAAGGTAGTTGCTGGACGAAACAATCCTACCGGTACTACTCTAGATACGAAGACTATAGAATATAAAAAATTTTTGCATCTGCTTGGTGTACTTCAAAGTTACTTACCATGCTCTTCAGCTTTCAGTGCTTCAAGATCAAGGCTTTCATTTACTCTGTAGAATTCTCTGAATGGTTCAAAGGTGTCTGCATACTGGTTGGCTGCACTGAAAGCAGCACTTATGGCAGCCTGAGTGCGGAAACAGAACAGGAATTTTAATAACTTCTTTGTGCAAACAGGCATTGAACTTTTGATGGCACATTGGTAAATCTAGAGTATCTTGTTCAAACATCACAACAAATTATGCATACACACTGCAATGGTTCAACAGCTAGAATTGTAAAATTATGTAGTTGCCAATGAAACCCTAATCTGAGTATTTGAAATTATATCTACTAGAATATGTTGATAATACTACAAAAATAATCAATGATACTTTGGATGAATAA